AGACGAGATCAACGTGGATTGCGATGATGGCTGAACTTCACCCCGGACAAGACTGGGCTATGCCAGCATCCTGCTGGACCCTTGGAAGGCATTTGGGCAAGCCTCGCATCGGCGGCTTGGGCAGGCAACCATCAAGTGTGGTTTTCCGCTCTGGCTGGCCAAGCTGCCGATCTCTCTGCACCGTGCGCCGAGGGTGCTGCACCCCGACGGGTGCTGCTCGCAGGAGTTGCAGGTATTCCAGGCGGTGCTCGCTGGAGACGCGTTCGCCACAGGCTTCACGAAGCGCATGTCGCTGCAACCGCTCGACGAGATGGTCGCGCAATTCGGGGCCGTCGCACCAGCCATCGTGGTCGACGACCTGGTGCTCCAGCGCTGGAGCGGCGCCCAGCGCGTGGAGGGCGATCTTGCGGGCGCTACTCGCGCATTGGTGCAGCAGCTGAAGGAGGTTAAGCTCAAGAGCGCAGTCAGTACAGTCGGGGCGTTGACCTAAGGAACCCAAAATAAGGAACGGGACCCTTTTTTCATAAGTTAGACTTCGACTTCCTATCGAAAGCATAAAGGAAAACCTGAGGCAAGCTGTGAAACACTTAAGGAACGCGGAGCCCCTCCCCAACCAAAAGGGTTCCTTCTTCAGGGCCCCGACTGCAAGTCTAAGGTCATGGGTAACTCATAAGGCTTGCGCAGCAGCATATCGAGGCACCTGCTCAAGTTTGCTGGAGTCCAAGGGGCGCGTCACGCGCGCAACCTGGGCACTGATCATGCAGAGGGGCGACGTGCTGCTCGGGCCCTTCGGCCACAACGCCTAGCCCGCGTCGGGCTTCGCCTGGGCAAGGTGCGGAGCTTTTTGGGCCTGAGGCGCGGGCGCACTGCTGCAGCCAAGGTTGCGTTCACAGCCCTCCACCCTTCGGCGTTGCACGACGTCAACTGCACTGGCCTCAACTCCAGCGAGTGATCCAGGATGCGCCCCATCGCGGTCAGAGCCGTGGAGCCACGGCCAGCAGGCAAGAATGCCACCGCAGTGCCGATGCTCTCGGGGGCCGAGATTTTGGGCCCCATCTTCACTGCCACGCTGGCGACTGTCATGACGCTGGCCAAGGCTGCATGGGGGAAGCGGCTCCCGACGCCCATTTTGCAGCCAACTTCCGGATGGAACGTGAAGGTCGCCAAGCACTGGGGCGACGCGCGCGGCCCGCTCGGGGCAGCAGCGGTGTCCTTGCAGGGGATCGGGCTCACACTCAGCTCTTTTACTGATTGGGCCTCCGACGCGGGCGAGAAGCTCAACTTGGCGGGCCCCCCCCCCCCTGGACGGTCAATAAGATTGCCGCGCGGGGCGTCGAGCGGCGGCAGTTGGCTCAGCTGGCCAAGAGTACGCACTACGACATCCACGGGGCTGGAGGCGCATTCCTGCCGCAGGTCAGGCGGCGGGTCACGTCGGGCCGAGGCCCCACCGAGATCGCTATGGCCTGGAGAGCGTTGGCGCCCAGGGAAGCTGGGCATGCCAGATCATGCCTGGTCGACGGTCAGTGGCTCAACGAACGGCGCTGCGCGGCAGGCCTCAGCTCTTACCCGGTCTGCTCGCTGTGCCCCAGCAAGTTGGGGGCGCTTTGGCATGGGCACATGGAGCGCCAAGATGACTGGCCGTCTTTGGCCCTTCCAGAGGAGCTGGAGCGCTTCAAGGACAAAGGCGACACCATCACGATCGGGGCCCTGCTAGCGAGGTTGTGGCTGCCAGAACCGCTCGCGGAGCGGGGGCCGCCAGGTGGCGACTTCCTGGCGCGCGCGCCGCGGGTCAAGGGCTACGACGAGGGCTTGCCGTTTGCAAAGCCCGACCTGTTCGCAGATGGGGCCTACATCGCCGGTGGCACCAGGGCCGCCTGCGCAGGATGTGCCTGCATTGCGTTGCCCAGCGGCGGCGGTCACATCGACCCTGGGCCAAGGTCTGCCACGCGTGTGTTGGCCTCCCCTTTGGCTGGCGCTTTGCAGTCCATTGGCTGCGGTGAGCTGCTAGCACTTCCACTGCTTCTCAAGAACACCATTCCACCAGTGACAGCTCACTTTGACGCTGAGCTCGTGGCGAATGGCATCAATATTCGTGGGCCCGTGGCTACCGCCAGCGGCAAGGCAGCCTGGGCGAAGCCGTGGGTTCGCGCCTGGCGCGCAGTGCAGGACTCTGGGGGGCTCGGCGCAGGCGGCCTCGCTGTTGTCAAGGTCAAAGCACACGCTTCTGTTCAGCACGTGCTAGAGGGCCATGTCACGGCCAGAGCGCGCAGAGGCAACATCGAAGCTGATCGGCGCGCCAAGTTTATTGCTGCTCAAGTCGGCACCCCTGACGCCCTTCGGCCGATAATCCAGGCGAGGCAGACCATGCTCGACGCCGCGTTCTTCTGGGTTTCGATTGCTGGCGGCATGGATGCCGATGACAGAGCAGACATCTCGGACGAGAAGGTCACGAATCAGGCCAACAATATTCAGTTGTATCTCGCGGCTCACGAAGTCACCGAGGTCCCGAATGGGGGCATTCACTGTTTGCGCTGCCTCAGGATCGCGCACAGCAGAAACATCAAAGCGCACTTCTGGGCCAAGCCCTGCGTGCCCAAGCCGTGCGCCCCGTCGCACTCCGGCAGTGCTTCGAAGAAGCGACCTGCTCGAGCAGCCTTGGCGACGGCGGCCGCGGCTGCGGCGGCCTTCGCCGCATTGGCGCGGGTCTAGCAGGAGACGACAGTTGCTGAGGCTACAGGCGACGGCAGCACCAAGCTGCCGAAGACCAAAGCTCTCAAGACAGCCCAGCAGTAGATCGACTACCTGTTGTCGGCAGCGTCTGGAGCGAGCTCGAGCGGGTCTGTGCGCTCGACATCGGCCGAGGAAGATGTTGCCAGTGCTAGTGCAGCTCCTGCAGGCCCCGCTGCAGACGCCCAGTCGGGCCCTGCACGCGCGCTCCCGTGGGGCCCGCTGCTGAGGCCCCGTGTGGTCTGGGTTCGGCTGGCGGCGCGAGCTTTGTGGATGGGCCTGCCTCGCTTCTCTCCTCGGGGTCCCTTGGGTCTCCTCCAAGCCCCGCTGCAGAAGCCCTGGGGGGAGCCTACGGCGGCGAGTGTGCGCCCGCCGATGTGTCCTGCTTGCGCAGTGCGGCCAGCAGTCCGGTTGCCTCGCAAGGTTGTGTTGTTTCGTCTCGCCGCTCGAGTTCGCCCGATTGGTCTTGGTCGGAGGCCCTCGATTGCCCCTCTGGCCCCAGCGCTGCGTCGTCGACCGCTGGCGACGGCACTGGGGTTCCAGGTGTGGCGAGCGGCGAGCATGTTCTCACGACCATCCTTGGATATCGGATTTGCACGCGCTGTCATTGGTATGCGAGAGTGATCGGGGAAGCAAGCACAGGGGCTTATCCGCATAATGCAAGTTATCAGAGAGCGCTCGTGGTTTGCAGCATCGCTTCGAGAAGGTCGAAAGGATCAGGCTCGGGCTGCCGCCAAAGGCGGTGCAGCCGAAGGCGCAGGCTCGGTGATGTTTGGGGGGCTTGGCCAGGCGGCGGCAAGTCGGCCCTGTTGGCTTGCTCGCCCCTTTGCCGCTCGGCTCCCCCAGGCTTGCGCCTGCCGCCAGCCGCGGCAGCCAGTCTTGCGGCTGCTTGAACCTGAGCTCGTGCTGCGCGAGCCTGGTCACAGCTTAAAAAAGCCTCACTGGCAGGGTTCGCATGCAGTTCCACCCTCATTTCGGCGCACCCCTCACACGGTTCGTGGCCCCATAAGAAGCTCCACCGAAGGCTCCAACGGGAGGGTTCGAACGACACCACCGCGTCCAATCCGGCGCACCCCTCAGATGTTTCGTGGCCCCATAGGGAGTTCCGCCGAAGACTCCAGCGGTAGGTTTCGCATGGCACCACCGCACCCAATTCGGTACACCCACTCACACGTCCCGTGGTCCCAGAGGATGCGCCACCGAAGGCTCCAGTGGGAGGGATCGCATGGCAGCACCGCGCCCAATTCGGCACGCCCCTTACACGGTTGGTGACCCTCGCAGCTGCTGATTGTTGGGTTTTTCGCAAGTCTAAGTAGAAGTTGTTATCAGTATTGATATTAGTCGTCCTCCTCCTCCTCCTCCTCCTCCTCCTCTTCCTCATGTGTTTTACTATTACTGCTATGTGTCTTACGAACCTTACGATAGGAGTGTGATTAGTATTATTAGCATTGATAGTGTCCGAATTAGTAGTATGATGTGTATCATATGAATATTATTGGTTTTCGTATTAGTAGTTGCATGTATTAGTAGTAGTAGTAGTAGTAGTAGTAGTAGTAGTAGTAGTAGTAGTAGTAGTAGTAGCAGTAGCAGTAGCAGTAGCAGTAGCAGTAGCAGTAGTAGTAGTAGTAGTAGTAGTAGTAGTAGTAGTAGTAGTAGTAGTCGTAGTAGTAGTAGTAGTAGTAGTAGTAGTAGTGTAGTAGTAGTAGTAGTAGTAGTAGTAGTAGTAGTAGTAGTAGTAGTAGTAGTAGTAGTAGTAGTAGTAGTAGCAGTAGTAGTAGTAGTAGTAGTAGTAGTCGTAGTAGTAGTAGTAGTAGTAGTAGTAGTAGTAGTAGTAGTAGTAGTAGTAGTAGTAGTAGTAGTAGTAGTAGTAGTAGTAGTAGTCTGCTTCTTAATAGTATACGTATGATTGGTGCTACTATTGATATGATTCGTATCATTACTATATTTATTATGATTAATCCTCATCCTCCTCGTCCTCCTCCTCCTCGTCCTCATCCTCCCCCTCCTCCTCCTCCTCCTCGTCCTCTTCCTCTTCCTCCTCCCTCCTCCTCCTCCTCCTCCTCTCCTCCTCTTTCCTCCTCTTCCAATCTTCTCCTCCTCCTCTTTCCTCCTCCTCCTCCTCCTCCTCCGCCTCTGCCCCTCCTCCTCCTCCTCCAACTTTTTCCTCCTCCTCCACTTCCTCCTCCTCCTCCTCCTCCTCCTCCTCCTCCTCCTCCTCCTCCTCCTCCTCCTCCTCATCCCACCCGACTCGGAAGGGCGGTGGATTCACTCTCCTGGCCACCGCCCGGGAGCCCGTTGAGGAAGGCCACGGCCTTCGGCGGGAGGCGCCGCCCCGACCCCCCCTCTACTGCGGAACCCTCCCCGTGGGTCGGGGACGGGGGAGGGCCGTGGTCATAAAGTGTTCGTATCAAGGCGACGAGATCTATACATATCCACCGCCGGTGGCCAGGCCCATCCTAGGCCAAGGAACGGTGTACATGCTTCCCTGGACAAGCCAGGGGGCGTATACACAGCTCCTGGGCCCAGGATGGGTCTGGCCAGCGGCGGTGGATATGTCTAAGAGAGCGCGTTTCATGGGCGTTCGCCTTGGGAACATTCGTCGGCGCGTTTCGAACCGAGGGGGGGGGGGCCCCAACATTCGGCACCGTCGATCAAAACCAGGGGGAGTCTCCTGGGCCCTAACCCCTCCCCGTCCCCCACCCCACCTCCCTCCCGAGCGGGAAAGGAGTAGGAGATTCGAACTCCCCTGGCCGGACGCACCCCCAGCTGGGTCTCAACGATCCCCGAGCATATCCAGGGGGTGGAAAAGGAGGCCTGGGACAAGCCCCGCGAAGGCCCCAAGAAACCCACATAACACCACGAAAAACGTCAAAACAATCCCCTACAAGGACCCCCCTTGAACCCCACACGCTACGTAGGACAGGCCGAAACCCCAAGATTACCCAGCGATCGCGCGCGTTCCGCGAGCTCCGTCTTTCAATCTTGCTGCCGCCCCAAGGGGTCGGCGGTGCTGCGTAAGCCAATGAATCAAGTGCGAGGAAGTCCCAAGCGACAGCGCGATTCCTGAGTGTCGAAAGCGCTACGCCTGAATAAATCGCGAGGGAGTATCAAGTGAGAGCGCGATCCTTGGATACATTGCACGGAATTCCCTAGCGAGAGCGCGATTCTTCAATAAATTGCAAGGAAGTATCAGGCGGGAGCCACTGTTATTGTAAACCGGGGGCCAGGGACACAGACTGAGCAGGAAGACTTTCCCCGGTAAAAACACAGCGAGCCCCGGGAGGAGCACATCAATTGAAAAACGCGTATGTTACGCGAATGCGCGAGTCCTGCATAATTCGACAGGAATTCTCGGGCGAGAGGGCGATTTCTGTGTAAATTCTGATGAAGTCCCCAGCGACATCGCGATTCCTGAATGGCGAGGGTGTGGCGCCTGAGTAAATTGCGATCGAGCGAGAGCGCGATTCTTGGACAAATCGCAAGGAACTCCCTAGCGAGAGCGCGATTCTTCAATGCATTGCAAGGAGGTATCAGGCGGGAGCCACTGTTTTTGTAAACCGGGGGCCAGGGGCATAGTTTAAGCAGAAATATTTCCCCTGATAAAAAAAACAGGATGCGAGCCCCGAGAGGTGCACTTCAATTGAAAACACACATGTTACCGGAGGGGGATCAACAATAATTCGCCGGCCCAACGGGCCGGAGGCGTGCGAAGATCCCCGGTAACTGGTTCACAGTAGTTCTAATTCGCGCGCGCGGGGCGGCCCCTGGGGGTCCCCGGACGAAAAGTACCCCGGCAAGGTCCCGGTAGGAGCCACCAGAGCACTTCAGGGGAGGGTCATTTTTCGACACCCCTCACAAGGATCGTGGCCTCCAATGGGGGAGCCGCAATCGACTACCCCCCCTCCCGCCCTAAGAGGCCTCCAAGAGCCTCCCAAAAGGCCCTGGGGGCACCCAAGACGCCGCCAAGGAGCCCCAAGTGACTCCCAAGAGGGCCCCAAAAGGCAAAATTAATTGTTTTTCCTCAGGTTTGGGGGAGATTGTGGCGTCTCCACCTTTTCGGCATCGCGATGCCCCAAGACGGCCCAAGAGGCCCCCAAGATCGCCCTAAGAGGCCCGAGAGGCCTCCGACAGGGCCCCAAGACGGCCCAAGAGGCCTCCAAGACGGCCCAAGAGGGCCCCAAGAACGCTCTGAGAGAAGCCCCAGAGGGGGAACACGAAACAACATTTCGAGCCCTCGGCCCTAAGAAGCCCCCAGGAGGCGCCAAGAGGCCCCTTTGAAGCCCAAGGAGGCCCCCAAAAGGCCCTCGAGATAGCCCCCAGACGCCCCACGAGGCTTTCAAAAACACTCCCAAGAGGGCTCCAAGAGGCAAAATTCATTGTTTTCCCTCAGGTTTGGGGGAGATTTTGGCGTTTCCACCTTTTTGGCATCGCGACGCCCCAAGACGGCCCAAGAGGCCCCCAAGATCGCCCTAAGAGGACCGAGAGGCATCCGACAGGGCCCCAAGACGGCCCAAGAGGCCTCCAAGAAGGCCCAAGAGGCCTCCAAGACGGCCCAAGAGGGCCCCAAGAACGCTCTGAGAGAAGCTCTAGAGGGGGAACACGAAACAACATTTCGAGCCCTCGGCCCGAAGAAGCCCCCAGGAGGCGCCAAGAGGCCGCTTTGGAGCCGCAGGAGGCCCCCAAAAGGCCCTCGAGATAGCCCCCAGACGCCCCACGAGGCTTTCACGAGCACTCCCAAGAGGGCTCCAAGAGGCACAATTCATTGTTGTCTGTTTTTGAAGTTTTGGGGAGATTTTGGCGTCTCCACCTTTTCGGCATCGCGATGCCCCAAGACGGCCCAAGAGGCCCCCAAGATCGCCCTAAGAGGACCGAGAGGCCTCCGACAGGGCCCCAAGACGGCCCGAGAGGCCTCCAAGACGGCCCAAGAGGCCTCCAAGACGGCCCAAGAGGGCCCCAAGAACGCTCTGAGAGAAGCCCCAGAGGGGGAACACGAAACAACATTTCGAGCCCTCGGCCCTAAGAAGCCCCCAGGAGGCGCCAAGAGGCCCATTGGAGCCCCAGGAGGCCCCCCAAAGGCCCTCACGAGGCCCCCAAGAAGCTCCCATGCGGCTCCCAAGCGGCTCCCATAAGCCCCAAGATGCTTCCAAATGCTCGCAAAGGAGCTCCAAGAAACCCCAAAGAGGCTCCAACAGAAACCCAAGAGGCCCCCAAGAAACCCCCAACGAGGACCCCAAAAGGCCCCCAAAAGCCCAAACGCCAGCGAGGGCACAATACGGGCAAGCGGAATGAGCGAAGCGAATAAATTGTTCTTGAGTAGTGCGAATTCAAAAACAAAAACAACCACAACAAGAACCACAACAACAACAACAACAACAACAACAACAACAACAACAACAACAATTACTAGCACGTGTGGACACTCCGTTCTCACCAGTGCCAGGGTTTTCATAGGAGGCGGGCAATACCCCCACTTTGTGGGGGGGCCGGTTCAAGCTCTACCAAATTTCCAAACGACTCTTCGCCACCACCCACACCCAGCTTCCCGCCCTATGACGTTCGGACACTTCACTTCGTGGCATGCGGACGACCGTGGCTACTATTCAGGGCCCCGCGGCCGACGACGACGGCGTGCGCGCGCGAAGAAAAAACGAATGTGTCCCGCATGGTATTATTTGACAGGGATGATGGCCCTGGCAGGTGCGCAACCGTTGTTGCAGAAGTTCGAAAAAGTTGCTCGCAAAAGCCCGTTTGACAGAAATGATTAAAAAGTGTTGGGTTTCCTACGAATCCGCAAGAGCGCGCGGGATGAAATTTTGACATTTTTTTTGAAAAACCATTGGTTTTTTGATGTTTTTATGTTAAAATCGCTACGAAAACTAAGGTTTTGGAAGGATTTCGTCTTGCGCGCGCGAATGTCCACTTTACCTTATTTTTTGCAAGGGATTCTTGAAGTTTGGTTATGTTAGAACAAGAAATGTCCACTTCAGCTTATTTTTTGCAAGGGAAAACCGATCGTAACAACACAACCGGATCCGGACTCCCCCGTTTTGCCTGAGACTTCCTCACGAAAATGATGAAAATGAGGCTGCGGCCTAGGCGCGGCGGGGGGGTCGTGCACCAGGGGCCCAACAATAATTATTCTTTAGAAGTAATAATGTTCAACAACAACAACAACAACAACAATCATTTTACCCGAACGCTCAGTGTTCTCACCAGTGCCAGGGTTTTCATGCGACGCGAGACAATACCCCCACTTCGTGGGGGGGCAGTTCAAGCTCTACCAAATATCCAAACGACTCTTCGCGACCACCCAAACCCAGCTTCCCGCCCTATGACGTTGGGACACTTCACTTCGTGGCGTGCGGACGACCGTGGCTACTACACTGGCGTGGGGTACACACCCACAGAACTTGGTCACTTATTCGGGGCGCGCGTGTGCCCAGCATCCTGCAATTGTGACATACAATACATGACACAGACAGACAGAGAGAGAGACAGAGAGCAGACAGAGAGAGAGACAGAGAGAGCGGAGTTGGTCACATTTTTGGGGCAAGTTCCTGAGATCGTCGTGTTTTTTGTTGGTCTTGCGCGCGCGAATGTCCACTTTACTTTTTTTTTGCAAGGGAGTATTGAAATTTGATTATGTTAGAACAAGAAAAAGTAGCTCGCGCGAGCTCATGTAACATAAATGTTGAAAAACCAGAGTCGGACAGCGCGCGCGGAATGAAATTTGGACATTTTTTTTTGAAAAACCAGTGGGTTTTTTGATGTTTTTATGTTGAAATCGTTACGAAACCTAAGGTTCTGGAAGGATTTCGTCTTGCGCGCGCGAATGTCCACTTTACCTTATTTTTTGCAAGGGATTATTGAAATTTGATTATGTTAGAACAAGAAAAAGTAGCTCGCGCGAGCTCATGTAACATAAATGTTGAAAAACCATTGGTTTTGTGGGATTCGGACAGCGCGCGCGGAAGGACATTTTGACAATTTTTTCTTAAAAAACCATTGGGTTTTTGATGTTTTTATGTTAAAATCGTTACGAAACCTAAGGTTTTGGAAGGATTTCGTCTTGCGCGCACGAATGTCCACTTTACCTTATTTTTTGCAAGGGATTCTTGCAATTTGATCAAGTAAGAACAAGAATTTTCATTTTATATTGTTTTTTGCAAGGGACAGCGGGGGGGAACAAAACAACCGGATCCGGATACATCCACTTTTCTGAAGCTTTCGCGAAAATGATGAAAATGTAGCTGCGGCCTAGGCGCGGCGCAGAGGTCGCGCACCAGGGGTCCCAACAATAATAATTCTTTAG